CTTTGTTAAAGCTCCCTCTATTATTTGCTTAAGTTCAATAGTTTTCAATAATATTATTTTATAATAAAAATTCTGTATTATCTTACATAATTAAATGTTTTAAGTTCAAAGCTTTATGATGAGTTTACTTCAAACTGACCGCACTTTTGTTACTGCATCGTGACTTCTTAGCGCAAAAAAAAGCCTTTAAAAAAAATTAAAATCTTAAGTATTCTATCAACTACTTCAACGCAAGTGTTATAATATTATGCATAAAGAAGAAAATATACGTGAACATATAATATCAGAAAAGTAGAAAAACCTAAATTATAGAAAAAATATTCTGAACGAATTTTGGATACTGTTTGTGATGCGAAAACGATAAACCAATTTTAGTTCAACGTATGCATATATCCACAAGGGAATAGACTGAGCTAGTAAGCTACGTTCTCTATAGATACCAATTTATTCCACCAAAATGCATATGATAACATTTTCGAAACATAGCATCTGTTCCTCAGAATTTTTACAGATGTAATGTAAGTGTCAAATATGTATGTATTGTGTGTATCCATATAAATAGGTTTAAAATAAAACACTGAAAAGTGATATACATAATATATGTAAGCTCAACGGGGTAGTGATGAAAGGCTAAGCTTTTGTACTTGATAAAAGCTTTTTCTTAGACAGATGTTTATGCAACATGTTACACATGAAATACACGTGAAAACCTTTATCATTCAAAATCAATCCAATAACTTGTAGCATGTAATAAAAGGAGGCGAACAGATAAGATAAAACTTTAGTTTCATAATAAATCGTACATTTAAAAAATACTTTCTTCAAATTTATTACTTTAACACATCAGATAGGTTATTACTGGGCTTTATAACGAGGACAATTACTGAACAAATACGTAACTATAAAAGATATTATCCCCCTGTGGATCACTAGTAAAGTTACGGATTTACAAAGGTAAAATCGGTGTTCGATTACCCGCTGTGGACAGTACGTAGATAGTCCACGGTGTAGCTTTGCGCTAAAAACAATAAAATAATAATTACCGCAAAAGGCCAAACAAATAACGAAAGTTGGGGGAAAATATCATAGTATGGTGAATGTAAGTTCTGTGTATTTTACTTTTATTATTATTTGGTTTCCCTGATAATTAGAAAATATTTTCAAATTGCACATGTTCTAAATAAACACATCCGGTTAATCAAAGGACCATTTCCTTCAAGATTTCTCGAAGAATTAATGGAATGCAGTGAAACCGGACTGCATATACAGAAATGCCATTTACTCGATTGTATGGGAACTTGGTGCGCACGCAATCATATCATTAGACATATATTTGGAAGAGTAATAGATTGAATTCCATAAGATCTTTCTCACCCTAGAACAGCATAAAGAAAAAAAAAGGTATGTTGATGAGTCTTAGAAATTACAATCGCATTTGCGTTGCAAGAGCTATTGTTTTTTTGTGGATCTCCTGATGAAAGAAAACCTTAAAAGAAAAGTTTTGAGATATTGTGTTGCAAAATACAAAACCTAAACGTTACAGAATTATTTCAAGTGTGGTGCATGTGAGGGGTAAAAAAGCAGCAGTGTTATTCATTCGAAAACGTACATTCAGTCAAAATATTAAATAAAGGAAACTACATTACTTGGAATAATGTATAGATGGTCTTCTAAAATGTGGTCTTGTGCATTATTTGGTCATCATAACAAATAAATACAGGTTTCTCCATGTTGGTACTTTTATTTCATTTTGTAACACGCTTTTGACTGTTATACTGCAGCCGTATGTCTTCATGCAGGCTAATATTTTTTGTTGTTGGGTTTTTCATCCAACCGTGTTTTGAATTTATATAATATTGTTATCTGTATTTATTCTGTTGTCATAAAGTTTATGGTTTGAAAACAAGGATTAACTACACCTAGTTCAGAAGGAAACTTTCTTTAGTGCATATGGTAAAAAGAAAACGTAAGTATAGTTATGGAAATGAAAGGCACACCCCACTTGATGGATGGATCAGAATTGGTAATGTATGATGGTTATATCAGCATTTAATACATTTATTTATAATATGATTTTAAGTTATGCAAACATCTGGGTATAAATACGATGAATTTTATTACTTTTTAAGAAATGTACTTACTCTGAAGTAATTACCACTTTATAAAGTTGATAATTAAAGAGTGTGACTAGAATATTAAAAAAACGAAAACAAAAAGTCGAATATCACAAGTACATCTCTAAAGACGATGATTTAATCAACTATCCAGTATAACATGTGTAACCTATAAATTTCTGAAAGACTAAGTTAAGTATGGTTTGAACCGGTATACAATAACCTAATGCAGGCCTGTTTGTAATGAGCCTACGTTTTAAAATTATTTGTTTTTTGAAGATGATCCATAAACAACTTGGGCGAATTAAGCTCCAATTGCTCATATCACATTATAGCTATGAAAAAGGAAATAGAATGCTGCAACAAAACAGCATGAAGGTTTCTATGTTAACGAATGCCTTAGCCCTTAAATTACCGACTTGCTTATGTACCGATTAAATCTGCATATTAAGTAATCTTTTTTATGTTTCTGTCTGCTACAATGCTCGCTGTAAAGAACTATCCGAACAAAATTGGGTGAAACTTGAGTAAGGAAACACATTATGTTAATATAATAATAGGTAAACAAACAACGATTTATAAGTATAAGTACATTTTTTTTTTATTGATGGTGAACCATACTACATGTTTCAAAAGACAATGTTCTGTCGAAACATATAGTATTTCTACCACCAATAAAAAAATATTTACTTATATTTATAAATCATGTGTTGACTACCTATTATTACAGTTTGGTGAAATCACCCATTTTCTGTGTAAAATTCATAAGAAACCCCCAGCAGGAATTTGTGGGGTTTAAATGCTATATTGTTAATATTATTATGTGGGTCACATTTTATCAGGGACGCTGTAACCAACAATGTAATGATTCCACAAGCAACTTGGCCAATAGAAAGTCAAGAAAAATGTGTTTAATGATCCTTTAGGGTTCATGCATTTACCCATCGATGCACTTAAGGTTAAACTTGGTACATTATCGTTTCGTCGTTACTGCTTATTATAGAAAACCGAATTTTATAACCTAGTCTAAGTGCCTGGCATGGCCAGGTGGATAAGGCGCTCGACTCACAATCTGAGGATCGCGGGTTCGAATCCGCATACTACCAAACATGCTCGCCTTTTCAGCCGTGGGGGCGTTATAATGTGACGGTCAATCCCACTATTCGTTGGTAAAAGAGTAGCCCAAGAGTTGGCGGTGGGTGGTGATGACTAGCTGCCTTCCTTCTAGTCTTACACTGCTAAATTAGGGATGGCAAGCGCAGATAGCCCTCGTGTAGCTTTGCGCGAAATTCCAAAAAACAAAAAACAAACAAAACCTAGTCTAAATTAATAAAAAAGAATCTTATATTTTGCCTTGTACAACACCTTCCCTGGTCATGCAACTAGTTATTCTACTAGTTTATCCTATTTGCCTTCTATAAAAAATAAAGATGTGCGATGTATAGAGAATGTATAAATGTGACATAACTGTTACCCATAATTTTATCCAAATTTTACGAGCCCTACATTTTTAATTTATGAATGGCCTTCTGGACCTTCAATTTAATATTATTAATGTTAAGTTGAAGTTCTATAAGTCTTTCGTTAGGTCAGGATCATAATTTCTAAAATTCTACTATTGTTTGTGTGGGTCTGGAAACATGAGTCGTTGTTAAAAGTTATAGTTTATCATGATGCTTCTTGTGAAACTGAAAGAAAAAACTATAATTATTTGCCACAACAATCGGGTTAGCTACACTTTGTTGTAAAAGAATATCTGTCATAAAAAAAAAAGAGTTCTGTAAGCTGCATGTGGTCCATTAGATCATCAGCATGAAAGTTTTTACCTCTGACATTGTATACGCATTTACATTTCATATGTAGAACCTATATTATTATACAATTCTATTTTCGCCGAAACTGTCTTTTATCTTATGAAAGATTTTAATTAAGTTATTTGTATTCTGAAACTTCATCTTTCTAGTGAATGGATGTTTAGCTTTTATTTAATTTTGAAGCGGGAAAAAATGTTAAAATGATTTTTTTTTATCTTTTTTGGCCCAAATTCACGTTAAAAATTCCCACTTCACATGACACATGCAGTGTATAACTGTAATTATGGTTTAATTTGTATTTCTCGTTTTGTAAGAAAACATTAAAGGCCACACGTTTTACATGACTATTATAACAATATGGTAATTTTTTTCAAGGGTAAAGGCGAAGATTATATTTTTAGGCCTATTTTGTTTTAACAATGTACAACAAATGTTCGCCTGATTTTCTTTTGTGTCCATTGAAGAAATTTAGTAACTTATCCTTATAACTCTGGAATTTGTTTTGTACAGTAAAATGAAGTTAATATTAGCTACCGCTCAGAGCAAACTACCGATTTAGATAACGCCTCATGTTAGAGCTCTGGATGTCGGGTTCGAATTCGTAGTATATCATAACACATTCCCCACATGTTAAGCTTTGGGCGCGTTATACCGTAGGTGGCGGGTAGTAGGGTGCTGCTAACTACCTCTCTTCCACCTGGTCAGGTCAGTATTTCATAATTAGAGACGGCGGCAGATAGTCTTAGTAGCTTTGCCAAGAATACGAATACAATTACTTAGATAAAAAGTATAAATTAACCCGGTAATGGCCAAAAAAACATCCTGTTATTACGTCTTTACTCATAAATATTAGAATGCATTCTTTCATCAGTTGGGTATCCTCGCTGTTAACGATACGTATATTTTCAATTCTAGGATTATAGTTAAACTAACAAAGATATTCTTAAAAAAACTCGGTTGTCAAGAAGCTTTGGTGAAGCATAAAACAAAACAACAACTTGATCTTAAATTAAGTTAATAAGATTAATAATACACGATTGAAACAGAAATATTGGAAGGGATAGTGACTTACCAGGATGATACACGATGCTACTATGCTTTTGGTAGTTTGTTTGTGGTATCAAAATGACACACTCAAAAGTTGTAGCGCCATCTAACGGAAGGTCACTATCTTTAATTTCTTTGGTAAGAAGCACCCGATATGATCCATTATTTTTCTCTGTTTTAGTTGGAGTGTTTTGTAGAAGTTTCCGCTCACTTTTTCCAGGTGCCATCTGAACCAACGTCACTTGTGGTTGAGGGTATATTTGATCCACCTCACACGTGAAAGTGGCTACTTCTGATGAAGTTTTAGTATAATTAAACTTAATGCGTTTTCCAGGAGCTGAGAGTAAAACAAGAATCTGATGAAATAAAACTTGCAGTATAAGAAAAAAAAGTCTCAATAAAATAAAACAATAGTTTGATTAGAAAGAAAATATGAGTTGACTTGTAAAAAACGAACTTGTTTTTAGGTGACAAGAATTATTACAACAAGTAAGAAACTGGGTAACCAATAAAATCTTACACATATGATTTTATATATATATATAATATCAAACATTTATAACAACAAATAGTACTTTATGTTAATAACGGATCAGCCATGGCCTAAAGATTTGCGTGTCGGGCTGCGAATCAGAGGGTGCAGAGCTCGAAACGTGTCGCTGCCGTTTGCGCGGTTCTTACTTTCAACTATGAGTACGTTATAAAGGCGATAACCAACCTTATTATTCGGTTAAAACAAACCTTTAGTGGCATAGAGTGCTGCTTGCTGACTGCCTTTCCTATGACAAGTAGTTTAAAATTAGGACGGCTATGCCTAAATCCTTGGGGTCTTTGACCTGCTTGTTTAGCCGACGTGAGAATAAGGTGCCATTCAAGTTAAAATTTTCCGTTCTGCTCACTACTATGTTTGGAATAGGTTAATACAAAGCCTTGTTAGTTAGTTAATATACCTTTACCTCATTTTAAAGTGCATGGTCATCATCAATATGAAATGTATGTTACATTGTTAGATGCTATTAATTGGCTAACAACAAATATCATGTCATAGCAACAGTTAAATTTTGAAACTAAATAATCACTTTTCTTGTTCTCCTGGATTGTTTTGTTTTCTTGGCATGGCTAATCGGTCTTTCTTTGCATTTATTGCTTTTTTTTTACATGCTCATCCTGAGTTCCAACGCACTTGTTTTGTTTTATATGAAAGAATTCAACTGAAATTCCTTCTAGAACTTAATCATGACTGTTCATAGTTCATTAATTAATAGAAAAGTTTATTTCTTATCTTGGAGACCACGAACTCTCCTAATGTAAACACACAATGCTCAGCTCTTCAGTCCTAACGTTCACGACTTCGCAGAATATGAGAAATAAAATATTATATTTTGTTTAAAATAACTGAGTATTTGCAAAGTTGATGGATAAAGTTGTTTGACTGTAAAGAGATTACGTTACCATTCGGTTTCGAACGAAAGTACAGTCCAGTTAGATTAAGTAAATCGTTAATATGTATGAGGGTGAGATGATATTTACTATTTCTATGAACGTAAGTAATCACTGGAACGGAAATCTAGAATAGGCTAGAGATGGTTCATTTGAATGCAAATACAAAGTTGCAAGTATAAATAAAAGAAAAAAAAGAGGTTATTCGTGATCCGAGAACGTGATTTTCTATTTATTTTACTAGCAGAGCTCTAGATATTTTTATAATTTATAGGATTTGAGAACGTTCTTTTATTATGAAGAAATTTTATATATTCTTTCTCTGCCACGATTTTAAAGGTCATTCATTTAATTACGATTCTTATGTTTCTCTTATCCGTTACTTTTAGTTTTGGGGCAAAAAAAAAAAAGATTCACAATCTATATTCAGTGTTTATAGCTCTTCTGTTTTTCAGATTAAATAAAATCGCGTTTTTCTATAGTAAGTCCTTACCCTGCACACTAAAAAAGGTTCAGTTAACTCTGTACAATAATGAAAAAATAAATTTCGTGTTTAAACAAAAATGAGTTTAGTGTTTTTACTTATTTCCTTAATTTTGGAGTTTCTAAAAAAAATATTAAAGACAAAATTGGATCCTATTTGTGAGGTCAGTTTAGAATACTGAAATAATAATAACTATCAAATGTTTTCTAAACTTATCTTGGATAGTAAATAGATTTCTATTCGAAACGGAAAACTCAAATTAACGTATCACTAACTCATATATTACAAATTCAAAAAAAAAAAATGTGCAGATCTTACGGCCTTATTTGGTATTCTCTTAAGTTAGTAATGTTAGTAACAATCTACCAGTCCAAGAAACGACGTGTTCACAATAACCCAAGCTTTCGGCTCTTATACAATTAACAAACATAGTGTGTGTACATGTGTTTTGTTTTAGCGCAAAGCTACACAATGAGTGAGCTATCTTCTCTCTATCACCACAGGGAATCCATCCTCACATTTACTTACCGCTGATCCATTAGGGGACAATAAAAATAGTAATGAACAGATGAACAAAGAGCCTGGCATCCAAAGTTGAAAGTAGAGCAGTTTTACGTATGTGATTAGTATATGATCTGAGTAAAAACGATTTAGTCATGAATAATCATGTATTACTTTATTGTAGCAAACATAATCCACTCTCTCCTACTTCCTTTTTTTTTAGTTTCTTTATAATATATCTTCTTAACGTTTTGGCTTCTTTTATTACAAGATATTCCTTGTTCACCGTTTTTGCGGTGAAGAACACTTGTACTTCATTTTCTATGCTTTTAAAAATACAGGGCTTAGTAACTAACTGGACGGATTATTTCGCGTCAGTTATATGCGGTTAAATTAGAGCTTGGTGTCGCACTTTGTAAGGTGGCCTAAATTTCTAAGCTGTATTCTTCGCCTACATAATTACTCTAACAATACACCATTGTCTATAAAATAACCCAATGTAAATTACAAAAGAAAGTCTCGAGGCTAATGCAATGAAATACTCAGGTAGTCCAATTTAGTAGTTAACATATGATTCCACGAATAGCCCTATTGGAAACTGTATTAGTGATAGACGAAATTCATGCATTTTATTAATTTCTGGTGAAACGTTGAGAGATGTTTTATTCACTTTGCTGACAATGATCTCTTCGCAAACCTCGTTCAAACTTAGAAATGTAAATATAACTTAAAACTACTTACAAATTAATCTCGTTTTCATCATTTATTTACCAAGTGGAGACCTAACAGTTTTGCATAGAAAGCTGCCTTGTTAATTAATTAAATATCAAAGCTGACCGGACTTCTGTACATCATTTTTGAAAATAATATATTAGTCCTTGAAGTCGTAAAATAGATTTATTCTAACTAGAAACAATTACTGAAATTAGCTCCTTGATGCCGCTTCGTTTCTTATTCACGTTGTAACTGCGAAAACAGAAAATTAACCAGTGATAAATACTGCGGTCACGACAATCGCTCACAATAAAAGTTTGGGTAAAACAACAAGTTGTAACTGAAAAGCCACGGCAAATATGTTCATTTTGAATCAATTTGATTATAATCTTATTTGTTCTTGTCCCCATGTTACCTCTTGCCATATCACGTAAATAATTACTTAAATTACTTGTCATGATATCTCTGATGAAATTAAAATTGCACGTTCGATAAAAAGAAATATACGTATTATAAAACTTGTGGCAAATAAAAGTTTTCAGATGATTTCAAATGGTAAGGAAGAAAAACGTTAACTGTGTAAGTGTGCCCGGCATGGCCAGGTGGATAAGGCGCTCGACTCACAATCTGAGAGTCGCGGGTTCGAAACCGCATCCCACCAAACATGCTTGCCCTTTTAGCCGTGGGGGCGTTATAATGTGACTATCAATCCCACTATTCGTTGGTAAAAGAGTAGCCCAAGAGTTGACGGTGGGTGGTGATGACTAGCTGCCTTCCCTCTAGTCTTACACTGCTAAATTAGGGACGGCTAGCGCAGATAGCCCTCGTGTAGCTTTGCGCGAAATTCCAAAACAAACAAACAAACTGTGTAAGTAAACTGATGATCGGGTATGATATTTTTGAAGTAAAGTGAAGAAATGATGTACATCTTATTATCCTACTAGCAGGAGTCGCAAAAGATTTGTATTCGTAAATTGCAATCAATAAATTGTTATAAAGGCAGTTTAACAAAACATTAGGCAATGGAAAATACCGTAAATATTGTGTTACCGATTTATATTAGGTAAAGAAGTTGGTTTGTCTTTAGAATCTTTAGTGAGAGATGGAGAGATAAGGGGAGCGTTCCCCCTTGTTAAGGTAAAGTATTTGTCAATTAATAATTGCTTATAGTGTTATGATTGGGCATATATGCACGTCATTTGCTGAAACGTAAATATAATATAAACTATTTCTGTGTATATTCTAGTGTGCTAAACGCGGTAGCTCTATTTCTTTGAGATACCACATTTTAGCCTCTGTAATATGTGTGCATTTTCTTTTTAATAAATCAGTTTTGCAGTTTTACTTTTGGTAAACTGTAACGTACGTTAAATCGCTAGTGAAGAAGGTAAAAAAAAACACACACACAAAAAAATGAAATCTTCTCATAGCGGTGAAATGATTCGCAAAAAATGTCATGGACACTTACCATAAACTATCATGTCTTTGTTTGCATCATCGATGCCGTTTAGCGAAGCCACGTGACAAGAATACTTTCCGCTAATTTCTGTGGTAGGGTTCAGAATCCGAAGACCGCGATATTTCGTAAAGTTATCTGAAGGCGAAAGGAAAAAACTCGTGTCTACTCGATCCTGGAATTTTTCTGAAAACCGACGAGAGTTAAGCTCTGGTATCCATTGGTAAATAGGATTAGGATCTTCGTTGTGATACCATTTAACTACCAGTTGTTCGTCTTCTTCTGTGAAGTTATATATACAGTCCAAATCAACGTATTCTCTAGTACCATTCTCAACCAAATGGGGCACAGAGAGACTGGTAATCGCCAGGCTTTCGGTTCCTTGTAAAAGAAAAAAAAACAAAAACGTTTAGTAGATTTGAGCAAACGTAAATAAGTATATTAATTATAACTTTATTTAGCATTAACTCGAATAAAGAAATATGATATACATTAGAAATATGTTAACTTGTAAAATAATGTAAATATTGGCATAGTAGCTTACTGGGCTACAGATAGAAAGTTCTGAGGGTCGGATGAGCGATATATTAAAATTTACAGTTTGGAAAGTATTATAAAAGTGACAGTAAATCCCACTATTCCGTTGAGAGAAACGCGTAGATAGCGAGTATGCTGACTTATTTTCCTGACTGGTCAGCAGTTCTAAAGTAGGAACGGCTATGCCTGAATCTTGGGGCCTTTGACTTGGCCGTTTAGCCCCATGTGTCGCATAAGTTGGAAAATACCAAATAAACATGTATAGAAAACATGCACTGAAAGTAATTTAAATTAAGGATTACAACTGAAAAATGTTTCATGATTTAGATTTTATAAAGATATGGAGAAATTAAAATCACACCCAATCACTCAGAAAAAAAAACACGATGTACCAGACATAACTTTGTTTTTGAAGTGTATATGCATGTTGATAAAGATAAACTAAAAAACAAACAAAAACATTCACATGTCATTATAAGAATAGAGAAAAAAATAATGATTAAAATATAAGTATTTGACAAGTCACAAACGCAGACTAATTGGTTCTTACAACAGATATATTCAGGTGCACTTACTGAACTGAGTAATGTAAACACATTACAACTGTACTTAATGAGTGGAAGGAAAAACATAATATTAGTGAACGAGATTTTCAAAACAATGAGAAAATGAAATTTGAATAATCCATTCTTGTACTATGATATATATTTATGTTTCAATGTCTTACAAAATATATTATTTAACATTTTATGGTTGGTAACTTATGTTACAAACATTCAATATTACGAAATGTTTCATGGAAAAGTCAACCACTCATTCAGTTTTATATCGAATTTTATTTGATAAGAAACTCCTAAACTGTTTTTAGTGAATTTTCTGGCCCTGTAATACAGTTGGTTTGTGACATGATTTAGAGGCGCTATATAGTAATTTCATAATATACAAATTTCTTTAGGTTTAGAAAGCTAAGAAAATCGAAGTAGAATTATTTTCTGTTCTTAGATTTTCTCGCTTTTCAAACACAGAAATTACCGAATTTTGTAACTTAATGTGACGAAAACAAAGTTACCATTTTAAAACTTTTGTTTTGACGAGAGGTTTTTCTAGATATTCTAAATCAATATATTCTGTCGTTCGTTATTCTTTTATTAATTACACCAGGTTTTAATCACCTAAGCATATGTTGGAGTTATAGCAAATAAGCATTTTGCAAGCTTCGTTCGAATGAAACTTTCTGACTTGGGGCACAGAATATTGTTGACTATTATACCACTCTCAAGTTGTAAGTATTCAGGCGAGTTCTATGTCTACAGCGTTTCGAAATGTGAACTAATTAAAACCAGTTATTCACAGAATTTTTTCTTAATTTGAAGTTATTCAATTGGAATTGAACAGATGCATACGTTAAACATGTTAAATTCCCAGATGGTTCGATCCCCCGCGGCATACACAGCGCAGACAGGTCATTGTACAACTTTGCGGACGAAAGAAAACAAATCCTAGATATCCCAACTTGCAAAGAGTATATGTAGAAAGTTTTCATAGAACTATCATTTGACAGTCAAATATGACTTAAGAAATTGTACACACTAACTGTGAGATAGAAATATAATATGCATAAAAATGCACAATTTGCGAAAGCTTTAATTCATAAATATGGCACACAACTTTACAGCTGTTGTACAACTGAAGTCGTCTAAGATATGATGGCAAACAAAAGTTAGCAAAACGCAGAGTTGGTGAAAAGTTGGGCTGAAGTAAAATCGATATAAACTAACATGTTAAGGTTTAATGTGATAACGTTTAAAACCAGAGCCGAAATTCACATCTCTTTTACGTTAAATCTATTCGAGTTAGTCTTCAGTTTCTTAAGTACAAAGGTGGCATTAAAGACATTGAAACATCTTTCCATTTGAAATCTCAACGGACTGAGCATGACTTAATGTTTAACGTATCGGGTTACGGATTTAAAGGTCCAGGGTTCGAGATGTAATGCCACTTAGTAAATGATAATATTCGAGTCAAAAAGCTAAGAGTGCTGCTGGCTTCCTAAATTTTGAACCACTGACCAGAAGGATGCCTATACCCGAACCATAGAGGTCTCCGATCTGACTTAATATGATAAATTTGTTTCTTCTTAGTTAGAATCGAAATAGAGCAGCGTTATTCTAATTGTAGTTTGTTCTAACTTTATCTGAAAGTCTAATGACAACTACGTGGTCGATAAACGATTTTTGGATACGATATTTTTCAGAAAAGCAGCCATAATCTATGAGATTTTAGGTTTAACTGCTAACATTTTTACAGATGTTAGATCCTAGTTTTAACTAAAAATAACCACTAAAAATGCATGATCACAAAGTATTTTTTCCTGATGCTACAAAATATTTTTAAATAAGTTGTTTATGTTTTTTTTTATTTTCTATTTTTCTATTTAACCGTGTATTTATTAACAAACGACCTTTCATGACATGGATTCTAGCTACTTACCTATTCGGTCATAGGTGTATTTATTTGTGAAGGATGATGATGTAATCGATGACAGTAGTAGAACCCTGATAACTGAAAACATTAAAAATAAGGTATAAAACATGTCCCCCAGTGGCACAGCGGTATGTCTGCGGAGTTACAACGCTAGAAACCGGGTTTCTGTACCCGTGGTGGGTAGAGCACAGATAGCCCATTGTATAGCCTTGTGCTTAACTACAAACAAACAAACATTTATAAGACCTACTCATAATCGACCTTCAACCTGGCATGGCCAGATGGTTAGGACGCTCGACTCGCAATATGCGGGTCGTGGATTCGAATCCCCGTCACACCAAACATGCTCGCCCTTTCAGCCGTGGAGGAGTTATAATGTAACGGTCAATCCCACTATTCGTTGGTAAAAGAGTAGCCCAAGAGTTGGCGGTGGGTGGTGATGACTAGCTGCCTTCCCTTTAGTCTTACCCTGCTAAATTAGGGACGGCAAGCGCAGATAACCCTCGTGTAGCTTTGCGTGAAATTTAAAACAAACAAACAAACAAATAATCGACCTTGGAGTAGATGACAAATAGTTCAACCTGACAAAAGGAGACAAAAAGCATACGAGATAGATCCAAAAGAGTTGCTATCAAACAGAAAGGAAGAATGTATGAATTGGCTTTAAAGCCACGACTCCTACACGTAAGGAGATGAGAAGTGGCAAGTCTTTACTTTGTGAGCCATTGAGAATATTATTACACTAAATGGGACAGGGGTGAACTTACCCATCCTTAGAGTTATGAAATTCTTAAACCCACAGCACATCACCGAAGTTGTTTATGTATATATGATCAATTCCTTTTAGACCTAGTTCACTCATTAATTATCACTGTTGCATACCAGATAGCTAGCCATACTTTCTGTTAGACTTATGTACTCTGATCCTTTTACAAATATGTGAATTAACAGTGATCAAGGAAAATGAGATTCTTTGGCCTTCTTCTGCATGTACAAATTATGCTAAATCGTGGCTCATGTAAGCGTGGTTACTGGTTTATTATGCCAACGTAAGGGCACACTAGCTGAAGAAATGAAACAAAGTTGTAACACAGCAAACATTTTGAAACTGTCGATATTAAGAGCATTCAGAAGAATAAATTTAAGCAAATCCAAGTTAAGGCATACTCAAGCTGCTAGTAATGAGCTGGTAAGAAATATTGGTAGAAACATTTACTGTAGCGTTTTGATATTAATTACATAATGTACTGTATGGGAGCATATAACACAGCAACAATACATAACTGAGGATTCACTGCCATAGAAAACAACTTCATCACGGCTCCAGACTGCCATGAGAATATCATAGAGAATATATTTAATGGGACATCAGAATCTAGCTAGATTGTTCCAAACCAGAACAGTTACTGAGAGGTAACGTAATTAAGGCATACAGTTATGTCTTCGAATGCTTGAGTAATAGTCGCAGTTATTTTTCATTGAAATTGTGATAAAGTTGTTAAAGCTAAACTATCTAGCTGCCTGTGACTTTAGTATCCACCTGCAGCCCAGATATTACTCAGTATAGGTAGTTTGATTTATGCTCTACGTTGTGGGAAATTAGACACTAAGCAGACAGACACCATGGACAAGAAACTAAATAGTATTAATAGATAGTCTTAACATTTATTTGTCAGAAGAGTTACCATTATACTCTCTGAGAATTGACTCAGGGAAAAAGTAGACAAAAAAAGTAAATAAAAATGCCGAGCTAAAAGTGTATAGTAAAAGAGAATAAGAGGGGAAGTGTGACAGAGGGTTCTCTCTGTGCAAAGAAGAAAACGACAAAAAGACTTTAGCAGTCTCCCACACATCTTAGGTAGAAGTGAATTTCTTAGGCAACCTTTTCTGAGAGTGAAGATATGTCGCATCACAGACTATAATTGTCAGACATTAGCTTTCTGAAAAGGAGAGCCACCCTCTGACCTTAGCATTTATGTTAGAAAGCTAATCACGCATTAATAGCAGGTAAACAAACTTGTGATTATAGTAGACAAATACTGAATTCTAACTTTTTTAAGCTGATAATGTTTTGTGCAAACTTGTTTTTAGATAACAAAGTACGTTCTAATGGAAAAGAGGTTGGAAGGGCTAGAATTACGCCATTCACACGAAGATATAAAAAGCAATTATTATGTGGATGTACACAGCGTGGTCACAAGTAAATAGACACCACCTTTTCAGAAAAAATAAAAATGTTTAGTCATATTCACATAAATTGATAAATTTATAATTTAATTAATATCTAGTAGATCTTCCTATCGCTTCGTGGAGTTCGTTGATCCTTTGGGGCATCTTGAGAATCATCTCGTCAATTTTAG